ATTGTTTGGAAAGTAAAATATTTTAGTTTGTTATTTAAAATTTTAATTATTTTAATTTAGTTAGTAAAATAGTTGTGTTTAAAAAGTTGATTATTTTTTTGTAATTGATTTGATGGTTGTGAGAGAAAAAATAAAATGATTATGGATTAGATTTGACATTTTATCTTATTAATTATTTTTACCATTTTATTTTTTAGTTTGTTATTGTAGCCCAATTCTCTTCTCAAACACTCCCTATATATCCTTAGTTATGTTATTTTCTTATTTATGATAAATTTTCTTATTTAGTTATGATATTATTTTGATATATTTGGTTATGTCTCATGTACTGTTTGGCTATGACTTATTTATTTATTTATTTTAATTATGTCTCAAAAAATATAAAATTCTATTATTTTTCTCTTTACTTATAAGATTCATATAGTACACGGATATTTACATAGTCTTTCTCTAATCTCATAGATCTATATGCATCATGCAAGGAAAGCTTAATAAAGATTGAAGAGTGTTAAAAAAAAAAAAAGGAAAATTACAGGTTGGTGGAGTTTTTGAAAATATTTACAGATTATTAGTAACAAAATTATGAATTTAGTTATTAATATTTATAAATTTTACCGTTGATTTGATTTCTCCCTCCAAAAAAAAAAAATTCTTTTTCTTGGGAAATAACTTGTCTCTAGTCCATGATTGGATTATTTGGTCCACAGTGAGTTGGTTTCATTTCAACCATTTGAATTTTCATCTTATGGGGGTCCATTGAGTATACAAAATATCATAACGATCAAACATCAGTGGTTACTTGATCGAATTATATTTGTCTAAATTCTTTTATACAAGCAAATATAATATAAACAAGTAGTTATTAATTTGATATCTAATAGACCTTATTTTTGTATGAACAATATAATCAACGAGGAGCTTCACAAGGTAAACGATTTGAATTGTTAAAATATGTCTATTGTAGGCTCAAATTGGGCCAAACTGGACCTCTCCCATGTAATCATGAACAGGAGAAGAGTTGCACCCTTATTTATTTATTATTTTTAAACCAATATTTGAAGGATATTAATTAAAACTAAAATTTAAATAATTATATATTCTTTTAAATATTGTGGTTATGAATCTCCAATCAAGTTGAATTTTTATACTAATGTTTTACAAAATAAGATGAAATGATTTGAATGATTAAGGTGAACCCAAATGAAGTCACCCAACTAGAGATCCAATCCTTTCACAATTATGATTAGGTGCATGGTTCAACAAAACTGAAATATCAGGATTTGTACATGCATTGTGATTGCACCATGTCACTTAAATTTGTCTCATGTAGTAGCTTAAATCTCAAACCAAATAAATTTTAGATTTTTAATTTTTTTTAATAATTTATCTTTTAACATATAATCTAAAATTCTTTTCAAAAATTAAAGAGGGACTTACTTATTATCCAATAGGTCTTGTGAAAATTAATGATATTTTTCTCAAACACTATTAAACAATATCACTGACTATTAATTTTAAGTGATAGTTTGAAAAACTTGTCACAAAAAATATCACTAATTTAACCATAATTTAAAAAATTATAACGAAAAAGTCACTAATTTTTAACTTTTAGAGATAATTTAAAAAATTTGTCACAAAAAAATCAATAACTATAAGTTTTAACAACAATTTATAAAAATCGTGACAAAAAAAGTCACTAATTATTAATTTTTAGCAACATATAAAAAAAAAATTCACAAAAAATTATTTTTAATACGATTTTATTATAACTTATTTTCAATAGAACTTAATGAAAATTAAGCCAAATTATTAAGACTTATTAATAGTTTATCCAAAAATATTAAATCAAACGAATCCATAGATTTTGCAGGGTTATTTTGACTTATTTTATTATTTTTTAAATTTAAAATTTTTTACTTTTTAAATTTGTCTAGAGAATCAAAAAAATAAAAATAAAAATAAAAAGTAAAGATAATTTATGACGTGGGCCTAGGGGCAATAATAGTGAACAAAATGGGGTTGGCCATTAATGACTAGTGGAGCCCCGTGCGCGTGACACTCCCTCCTCCTTGTCTAGATGTCTGGAAAAGCTTCACATACAAATCATTTTTTTTCATGAAAAATAATTTTCTTATTTCCACGTTACAGGTTCGAAATAAAATGTATAATTTTTTGAAAAAAGGGGTGATATTTTTAATATAAATTCTAAATATTTTTTGTATAAAGGTATGCATTATGGATTTGCTTTAAGGAAAAATTGAACAGTGTGAGTTAAAAAGGTTTTAAAAAAAGTAGAATGTAGTGTAATAAAACTTGGTTGTTCAATTGTTACAGAAGAAAAAAAAAATGTACATATTACATCACCGGTAAGAAAAAAAAACCAGTATTCATTTTGAAGTTGATGAATTCTTTGCAAGAAATAAAAATAAATAAATTATGAAATTAAAATTATTTATTTACTTATTTATGAACTACGTTGGGATTGAATTTTAGAAACCAATTGTGACACATGCTTGTTAAATATCACCGATGATGACAAATATGCCAAGCCCTTGGTATTATTGTTTAGTTTTACCACTTTCTTGCAGTCAAATATTATAAATTTTTTTTAGCACTTTCTGCTGCAGTAAAAGATTGTAAAATACACATAAGGGCAAAATTGCCATGAATTGTGCTTTACCACTACTATCAAATGAGTGCTGCTATTAGCATCTGTCAAAATTGTTTAGACTTCCCATTTTATAATTTTTTTTATTACAATTATATCCTAAAGTAAAATTACATTAAAAGACATTATTAAATGGAACACCCACCTATCAATAAGAACTAATACTCTATAATATTGGACACCAACCCCCACCCCCAATTCCAACTATATGTATTCTATGTTTGTAAACCCTAAACCTATTACTTTTCAGAACCAACTAACATAAGCCCTAAATCTATTATTTTTCATAATTATCTTAAATCTTGAATGCGTCATGTTCATTACCATCATCAGCGCTATTGAACTTGAAAGTTTTGCTTCAAGTATAACGTATACTTCATCATCTTATAAGTTTATCTGTCTTGCATTAACATTCTCGGTCGTTTTCGGTCATTCTTGTTTCGTTCGAGCTGTTCGGTACTGGTTTGCTGGCTGTTAGAATTATGTTCGGTAATACAGTACTGAACATAATCCTTTCGTTCAATACATAGGTTCCGAACATTAATGCATATACTCAGTTATGTAATTTTCTTTGTTAAACTAATTTAGAATGGAAAAGAGTTAATTAGAATTGATCTAAGTTATGTATTTTGAATGAATTTAATTCATGTTATTTTAAGTTGTGAATTGGAATAGATTCGAGTTACACAGTGATGAACAAATTTTGTTCGGACATACAGTGCTAACAGGATCATTATTGTTCGACAAAACAGTTCTGAACAAAATACATTTTTTCGGCTACACAGTGATGAACAAATTGCTTTGGGCTACATTCAGAATTTTGATGGCGATTCAGCCGATAATTTTGTTTTTCCCCATCTTGCAAACGGTTATACAAATCTCGTAGAAATTAGAGTATCTTTGATCGATCTCAGCGATGACGAACATACAAAAAGCAACGAAGAAGATGATGATGAGATGATGAGAGAGGTTATTGATTCGGCGATACGGAGAGCGTTCAGAGAAAATGAGAGTTGTCGGAATGCTCCGTTGACAGCCGAGACGGCGACGAGAGTGATGAAGGGTTGGGGTCCAAGAATTCTATACTGGACCAAAGCTCCAAACTCTGAAGATTGAGTGAGTCAAGGAAGGAGAGGGATGAAAAATTAGGTAAGTGTGCATTTCATTGTGAAGATATTATGAATATGGGTAGATTTGGTAATAAGTAGTGGGGTGCTCAAAAAAATATTATTAAAATTTAGGATTTAGGATTGGAGTCCAAAGAAATGAGAGGTTCAAAAATTTTTGATAGGGGCTAATAGCAGCACTCTTATCAAATACATTTGGGTCATTCTATTTACACAACACTTTTCTCTTTGCACTCAATTTTCAATTATACCACATATAAAAATGTAAAATTTTGTTTGATTATCTTTATATTAAATTTGACCTTATCTTTACATTCAAACTTTTCAAATCATAACCCTATTCTACCCTCAACCACAACCTCTGGTAGCCATTGCCACCACATTTGACTACCAATCACTCCTCCCTTCCGCCCCTGTAACCCTTCTTTCCCACTACAAGCTTCTTCGCGAAACCTCTTTCCATTCTGGCCACCCCATTCTAGTCCCTTACAAGTTACAACCATAACTTTTGACTACTTTGGGCCTTTTTCTTGCACGATCACTTTTCTAGCCACCCTTTGCCACTACGAGGGCACAATTTCCACCCCAATTGTGATACATGCTAGGGGTGTCCGCGGTTCGGTTTAGGACGGTTTGCGGTTCGGTTTGGACCCGCCCGCATCTATGCGGTTTGGGGAAAAATCAACCCGCAACCGCCCGCAATGCGGTTTGCGGTTTGTGCGGATAGGGTTCGCGGGTGTGCGGGCGGTTGCGGGCGGTTTGCGGATTGAACTTTTTTGCCAAAAAATTATTTTTAAACCTTTTTTTTCTCCCATTTTGTCAATCTTTATTTTGAACCTTTTTTCTCATATTTTCTAAAATACACCAACATTAATAATTAATGAACTAAAACTTATAAAAAAAAAACTTATAAAATAAAAAACACAACAAATTCAATTCATAACATAACAAATCATTCAAAATCTACATTCTATCATTAACTTGCATTCATCCTATCCTACATTCATCATTCATAATCCAAATAAGAAAATCCTACATTAAAAATTAAACATTCATCCTTCCTAACCCAAAAAAAAAAGAAAAAAAAAGAATAATTCTTCATTAGCTTACATTCATCCAAAATGCCAAAAAAAAATAAAAATGCATTAAGTTACATTCATCCAAAACCAAAACGCAATTAAAAAAAAAAATTGTTTTCAAACTCAAACTTCATTCAATAGAAACCCATGAAATAAAATTGAAACACTTCTAAAATATCAAACTTCATCTTCATGAATCACATCCAATTCAACTTTAACAAATTCCAATTCCAATTCCATGCATTTGGTTGATGAACCCTACACAAACAAATTGAAAAAATATAAACTTTAATCTTCAATTATAAATAGTAAGATAGATTTAAACTTTAATCTTCAAAAATTAATCAAAAACAGATTCAATAGATTTATATAATCAAAAACAGATTCAACAGATTCAATTATAAATAGATTCAAAACTTTAAATAATCATAAATAGTAAGATAAATTATAAACAGATTCAATTAATCAAAAATAGTAAGATAAATTATAAACAGATTCATAAATAGTAAGATAAATAGATTCAATTATAAACAGATTCATAAATTATAAGATAATAAAAAATTAATCAAAAACCCCTAAGATAAATTGTAAGATAAATTATAAACAGATTCATAAATTATAAGATAATCAAAAATTAATCAAAAACAGATTCAATTACTATTCAATTATAAATAGATTCAATTATAAATAATCAAAAACAGATTCAACAGATTCAATTATAAATAGTAAGATAAACTTTAAACTTTAATCTTCAAAAATTAATCAAAAACAGATTCCAAAAACAAACAGATTTAATCAAAAATTAAACAGATTCCAAAAATTAACCAAAAAACAAACAGATTCAATAGATTTTAAATAAAACAAACAGATTCCAAAAATTAAATAATCTGAATTCCAAAAATTAATAAACTAAGATCAAAACAGATTCAAGTAAGGCACAATTAAAATCACATCTGTTGGTCCACAACAAAAATCAGATTTGTTTTGGTCCACAAAAAATCAAATCTGTTCGTCCACCAAAAATCAGAGATGAGATATCACCTGTGATGTGAAGTAGATCGGCTGTGCAATGTTCAAAATCGGTTGTGCGATGATGAAAAAAATCAGAGATCACCTGCGAAGAGTAGATCGGAGATGAAAAAAAATCATAGATGAAAAAAATCAGTTCTTTTTCTGTTGTTCATCCACGATCGAGAGAGAGAGAGAGAGAGAGATTGAGAGAGAGAGCTCACCTTTGAAGCAGATCGGCTGTGTGATGATAAAAAAAATCAGAGATCACCTGCGAGATCACCTGTGAAGTAGATCGGAGTCGGAGATGAAAAAAATCAGTTTTCTATCGTTCATCCACAACAAATCAACGATCGGACAACAAATCAACGATCGGGAGAGAGAGAGACAGAGATTGAGAGAAATAGAGTTCACCTGTGAATGAATGAAGTAGATCGGCTGAGAAGGAGAGTGATCGATCGGTGTGTGTGTGCACACTGCACTGCAGAACCGAGGAGAAGAGACTGAGGAAGAGAGTGAGATGAGACTCAGAGAGAGAGTGAGAGAGTGAGTGAGTGAGGAGGAGGAGAAGCCGATTAGATATTAGGGTTTTTTTTTTCCTTTTGTTTTGTTATATGAGTGAGTTGGTGAGTCAAAGAAATATGGACGGTTAGATTTGGTTTGGAAGAAAAAAAAAAAAAAAAATTTAAATTAAATTAAATGCGGGCGGGTTGGGCGGGTGCGGTTCAAACCCGCAACCCGCCCGCAACCCGAAATTCATATAAAATCCAAACCGCACCCTACCCTAATGTGTTTGCGAAACCGCCCACATGCGTGCGGTTCGGTTCGGGTAGGGCGGTTTGGGCGGGTCGGATGACCCTATGCCCAGCCCTAATACATGCTTGTTAAGCACCTTTTTATGTTTTGATAATTTTAAAAAATAGTTACTTATTACTTGCCAAAACAAAAATACATAATAAAAAAATTAATTTTAATTTATTCTTATATTTTTTTGTAAGTTAAATTAAAATAATATTGCAATTGCCACAATCATTAAAAAATAAACATAAAAAGTTTACTCAAATTTATTTTTTTCACAAATAAATCAAATTTAAATAAATGGAGTTAATGCGAAGCCTACATCTCCCTTTCGAAAAATTTTAATTTCCATATTGCATAATTTGCATTTTATAAGAAATAGTAAATAAACTTTTCATTACATCACAAGATCTTCTTAGCCTGTCCGAATCGCCCAAAACACCATCATCGACTCCTCGTGTTCTACCCACTTATCACTTCTTCTTCTTCTTCTACTCTCTCACTCTCTCTCTCCTTTTTTGGGTCTCAACGGTATAGACAGAGATGGTGTTTGGGAAGTGAGTTTTTATGTAGATTTTAGTAGATGTAGGTTTTTATGAGATAAAAAATTTTTGGTGTTTGGGAAGATAAATAAACTTTTCATTACATCACAAGATCTTCTTAGCCTGTCCGAATCGCCCAAAACACCATCATCGACTCCTCGTGTTCTACCCACTTATCACTTCTTCTTCTTCTTCTACTCTCTCACTCTCTCTCTCCTTTTTTGGGTCTCAACGGTATAGACAGAGACACACCCAGCAGATTCAAAAAGCTGATTTGTTTTTTGGCAGCACATATTTTTTTTTTGGTTTCTTGGGGCTTTATCTGATGCTTTCACAACCTCCCAGTTTCAACCCATTCTTCTTCTTCCCCTTCTCTACAGTTCCAGATTCTTCCAAAGTAACTTATTTGTTTTTTTTTTTCTCTCTTTAATTTCATGCCCTTTTGAGTTATTGTTGTGAAAATGTATGTGGAGAATCTCATTGAACTTGAATATTCTCTTGCTGTTCATTTTTTTGTAGGTGGGTTGAGAGCTTTGTCTCTGATTAGGGTTTGAACCGTACTTTTTGAACTTGAATTTCCCTTTTTCCTCTTTCTTTTTGTGTATGCTTTTTTTTCCCTTTAGATCTATTTGATTTTAGAAATACAAACTAGTAAAGAGATTTGGGTTTTTTAGTACTGGGATGCTCATTCTACTGTTTAAATGTCGATGCTGTTCATCTTTTTACTGTAATTCTCTTGTAAATCAGTGAGTAATGTTTGATTGTTTGTAGGCACTGTTACTGTTGATTCACACTGCTGATTGATTTTTATTTATTTTTAGTTCCCTTCCTTTTATTTATTTATTTTTATTCTGAACTTGTATTTGTATATAAACAATTTTTTGTTTTTATTTTTATTTTTTGTTTTTTAAAGTTTCGTTTTTTATGTCTTCCAAGTTATGGTTTCTTTGATGAAGCTGTAAACTGGATGCTTTAGTGTTTTAGCAATTTAGGTTTTTGGGGTAATATGAATTTCGGGTGTGCACAACCCAATTGGATTTCTCAGAGTTATGTATCTGTAATTGCATGCACAGTTTAGTTTTATAGCTTTTTTGGTCATTTGCTTGATCCTTGTTCATGTTCATTGCACGGACTTGTTAGGAATGTACAAGAAATCATTTGCCTTGTGAAGGAATTTGTGATACACGAGTTTTGAAATTACTGCAAAAAAGGGAAAAAAATCCATTACCATTAACAAGATTGAGCAAGAATCTTGTAAGATTAAAAAAAAAAGTGTGGCTGGGGAAGCGTCACACATGATGTGCAAAAAGGGCGTGGATTATCATTCTGGAAACATCTGGGACAATTTGGGAAATCATAATTTTGATTTTTTTGTACTATTCATATCTTTACTAATATATGCATATGAATAACAGAAATGAAATCAGTTTTAATGTAAAGAGCAAAAGTACAGGAAACAGCAATATGAAATTGTTTTCATGGTGTCCATTATTTGTTTACTGTCAGTTCGTCTGCATGTTTAAGGTGAAATCATTCGCCTGCATGTTTAAGGTGAAATCAGTCTTATTAAGGTAAAACTGGCTTAAATGTGGGAAAGTACAATTTAAACCTGATTTCTTTATACTCATTGCATGTTTTGACAGTAATGTGTATAAAATGGTTGAAATTATGTTGTGTTTCCATCTGGGACTCATCCAAAAAATTTATTTCCTTTTTATGTTCCCGAAATTATGGATATTTCCTATTGCTGCCACAGTTACATAGTTTGTTTATTTCTTATGTTATGATCTATTTTGCAAATTGATACTAAATTAATTTGTCAATTTAATGCAGTGTTGAAGTACTTGAAATGATTTTTTGTTGTCCTACAAAGGAAGTAACTTCATTCTGAGTAGTTAATTACACAACAAACATGGATAAAGCATCCCCTGACTGCCCGTACCCAGGATGTTTTTTTTGTGTTATGAAGGAAGGGAACCCAAGTAAGCGCAGATCAAGTATAATGAAATTCTTCCGAGACCTTCCTTCACAGGACGATGACGGCCAGGTTCTCCCTATCAGCGGCCTTTGGAACACTGCCATGGCACATCCCAATGACCCCGAGTTCATTGAGCTCGGAATATTCGAGTGCATGGCAGCACTAATTTGGAAGGGATTAAAGAATCGCCGCTGGCTCTCTCATGACCAAAATGTATACATTCCTTATTATGCAGCGCATATTATTGGATCGTACACCATGAACATGGAAGAATTTGCTGAAAGTGCAGTGCATGCTGGGGTTATCCAACCCTTAGTTGAACTATTAAGAGGGAGGTTAACTTGGGTTGAACAAAGGGTGGCGGTGCGAGCTCTTGGCCATTTGGCTACATATGCGAGCACTTTTCCCGCTGAAGCAAGTCACGGTGAAATCCTTGAGCTTTCCATTCAACTAGCTATGAGTTCACTCGAAATTGTATACTCTCACTTTTGTCAGAATGTTGACAGAAGGTTAAGTTATCATTGTGACCTACTTACCCGTGGAATGGGCGGTGTTGAAATGGAGTCTAGGAAGGCAGAGGAATGGGCTAGTCAGTTGCAGTGCTGGTCCCTTCAACTTATTAATTGCTTTGCTTTCAAACATGAGTTTCTTTCTACGATATGCAAACCAGAATTTTTAATTAAACTTCCGGGCATGTGGGGTGGACTGGTTAATGAAACGTCACCAGCTGGTATTGGTTTATTACGAACAATTTGTCATCATAAGCTTGGTAGGGGACCGGTTGCTAGCTGTACGGGTATTATTGAAGCGCTGTGTAATATTGCACGCTCATCAGATGATTGGCAGTATATGGCTATTGACTGTCTTTTGTGGTTGCTCCAAGATCCAAGTACCTGTCATAAGGTAATATTTGTTCTGTTTAAATTTGTTTTGAGATTCTATATTATGGACATTGGAATTCTTCCTGCTGGTTTTAAAGCTTGAGTAGGCTTAATTTTGGATTGCTTATCGAAGATTGCTATGTGTAGATTTGATCTCTTTGCCCCTTCTTGATAACTTCAAATTATTAGACATTTAAGTTTTATAGTTGCAGAAATTACATTCATTCAAATTATAAGAAATTAAAGTTGTATAGTTTTGTAGTTGATGTATAGTTTATTCTAGTCATGGAAATAATGGGGCTGTGACAAATGATTTAACAATAATTCTACAGGCATAGAACCAACCACCCATCAAACCACAGGCTTCTCATGCGAGGTATGTGATAGGGTTGTGGTTTAATCGGTAGTTGAGAGTTATTGTCTGTAAGATTACTGAATATAAAATATCTAGATGTCAGAAAAGAGTTGTGGGGCTTGCCAGTTCTACTGTATCAACTAGTCAAATGCATATGCTGCTCTCATTATGTGAAATTTCACTCTGCATTTACTAGTCTTGTTTTTTACTATATTAATCCAGAGTTATTTCAGAGTTACCAACACATTTGGTGCTGATGTACTGCGATAACCTGAACTGGTTCAAGATAATTCTTTGTTCTAACTAGAGTAAGCCAAACAGACTGTTTAGGGTGGCCACCACGTTAGAGAGCCTCTTAGCATAATGTTCACCTATCTGACTCTGAACAGACACATATTTAGATCTTGAAAAGCATTAGTTGACCAGAGCTGATCAGGTGTAAATTTTGTCAGATAAGTTGTAAATAATTACCTAATAAAACAATAATTGTTATACAGGTTCCTTATTTAAAGATACGATAATTGTATGGTTTTTAATGATGTTTAGACAAATTAGGTTGACTTGTTTGAATTTAAGAACCTGGAACTATAGTTAATTTTTGTACAACCTGGAATTTCCAAACCTAGCTTTCGAGCGATAATATTGTTTACATGCACATTAATTAAGGGATTAGTCAGATGTGTCGTGGAAAAATTTCCACATTTATGTAGTATGTTGCTTTTCAGTAATGTAGGAATTGCAGTTTTCATTATGGCTGGTATTGGGAGGGTTCCTTGTCGGTATTGTAAACTTCATCTGATATATGGCTTGTCCAACTTTCCTGGGTGTGGAAGGTCCTATGAGTTGATGTACAAAGTACATCAAATACATTTAATGTCTCCTTGCGGAAGTGCAAACAAATTTCACTTGGGTGCACCTCGTATTGGCTTAATTTAGCTGAGTAATAAGTTGAGGTACTTTCATGTGTCTTTATGACATATTTCTTCTAGCCAACTGTGGTCACTTAGTGATAGCTTGTTAGTTCTTTAGGTGTGTGGCTTGGTGTTTGACTTTGTTAATGGCTTTTTGGTTTTTTTATGAGGTAAAAAAGAGTTAATGTGTTTGGGAATGACTTTTTTAGTTGCATGGAAAAACATGAATGACTAAGGTGTATGATTTGCTTTTTTAGTGGCTTTTTGGTGTTTTTGGTACTTTGGGTTTTTTTTTTTTTTTTTTTTTTTTTTTTTTTTTTTTTTTTTTGGGGGGGGGGGGGGGTTTTTTTTTTTTTTTTGTTTTTTTGTTTTTTTTTTTTTTTTTTTTTTTTTTTTTTTTTTTTTTTTTTTGGGGGGGGGGGGGGTGATTTTTGGCGTTCTTAGCCAAAAAGCCAACTTCCCAAACAATCCGCGTCTTCCAAACAATCCTTGTCTCATCTGTTTTGCCTCATCTCTTCCAATATTATGTCAGTTTTAATGATGAGTGTCCTCATCCCAGTTTTCTTGTTACATAGTAGTGGTAAACTGATAGTAATTGAAATGCAACAACCACTTCACACCTTCACACCTTGGAAGCACTAAGAAAAAGTTCCACCTTTGCTTGATTTTTTAAAATTTTTTGAGCAACTCCTTCCCTTGCCTTTTATGAACATATGGAAAATGAGTAAACATTATCTTTGGAATTCTTTTTCTGTAACTAATTCATGCTTCTTACCACTGTCAGGCATGTCTATCAACATGCATATGGACACTCAAAGGGAGCTTCTCTTTCCACACACCAGTTCCTCTTTGTGCACACACTTAATGATTTATTTATTTATTAATTATGATTTTGTCCTACAATGAAACTACCAAAATACCCTTGTTTTCTTTCTCCAAGACTGTATTCCTCCAAACCCTAATTCCTTAACCTTTAGCCATGGCCGACTGCCGCTGTTGCTGGTCTTCTTCCACGACCACCCCAACCCCTCCAACATCCACAGTCATCTCAGCTCCTTTCCCACCATGTTTGCCGACGGCAGTTATTGTCATACCCCAAACTCGTCCCTAAAAGTTTGGGCGTGACCGACCTGATAATGAGTCTCAAAACCAAATAATCAAATAGTATGTATTCCTTGTATAACAAGGGGCCCGAACGGAAGCAATTATTAATTTAAAATGACATCCATTGAGCCAGTGTTTAAATGCCAGGATCACAAAACATTTCATCACATAACTCAACACATAACGTAGTATATACGTAAGTGACAATTATATACATACATACACAATTCTAACCCCATATCTAGGGGTATAACCAAAACATTCAAGAGTGAAAGTTATACAATCTTATTGACATTTGACAAAAATGCTAGTGACCCCAAAGTTATGAGCCATGAAAGGAACTCCACAAAAATAAATAAGCTTCACTTAATAGATTGGACACAGCAGGGTCGACAAAAAAGCTGCTAGGACTGGTCTTCGAGCTGATTACCTACATAAACATACATAACATAGAGTGAGCGGGGCTCAGTGAATAATAGCATGTAGGCAATTCGTATGAATAAACAAAAATCACACCGTATGTAAGCACATATTTTTCACATGCTTGTCCTTGTTCTGCATTCATTTCCAAAATGGCCTTGGGCCCAATATTCATACAAAACGGCCTTAGGCCCAATATTTATATAAAACGGCCTCAGGCCCAATGTTATACAGAACGGCCTCAGGCCCAATATCGTACAGAACGGCCTCAAGTCCAATACATCAACAGTTGTTTGGAACATTAGAGGGCAGGTAGAACATCGACATGTACACTACCTCCCTTGGCCATAGGCCATGAGTCATAAGTGGTTCAAATCATATTAGGGTCGATGAGACATCGGCATGTCACCACCTCCCTCAGCCCTAGGGCTGTCAACAAGAAGTAGTTTATATCGGAACGGCCTCAGGTCCATAAGGATACCATTGCTCAATATCACACTAAAACTTTTCCAACTGTTCATCGTATAGAGATATAACCCATTCACGAGTAACAGTATGCTAACGATAACTATCAGAAGCAAATGAAACATATCACTACATTACTATTACTCACAGTGCTGTGGGAGAGCAGTATTCCTTTCCTGTATGTGACATTGTGACCTACACACAACATGTAACTCATAAATTAATCTCTTTTCTTTAATCTTTTCCTTTTTAATCAATATCTGATTCGTGTCACCTTCATTTAATTACAAGCATTTTAAAAGCTTCAAATACACATTTTAGCTATCCCAGAGGGTCAAACAGAAGAAAAGAAGTACACAGAAATTTTCCCCATGGGCCGCACGTGCGGCAGTCCCCCACCGCACGTGCGGGAAGGTGGGCCGCCCGTGCGGGAGTCCTCCTCTGCATGTGCATTTATTTCAGAACCTCAACTTCGAATTCCCTTGTTTTCCGCACGTGCGGCTGTGAGCTCCGCACGTGCGGTGGTGCTTTCCGCATGTGCAGCCATGAGCCCCGCACGCGCGGTCGCAGCCTCTGTTTTGTGCAATGCGATTCAAGGCAAACATCCAACAAGACAGACAACCATATCACAAGGAAGGAAAATGAGGAAATCAACTCAATATTATAACATAACATCACCATAACATGAATCACAGATCGTAATACCACAATAAACATGAATTACAAGCTTGATTAAACTATAACCCTTTTCTTGTGGTTATATTTGATGTATAAAAGATATATATATAACCAACTAAATATATATATGAGTTCAACATATAAAACCAAAGAATAAGATGCAATTCTCCTTCACAAAGCTCAAAATAATCCAAAACAACTAAAATACAAGAATCTTCCTTCCAATTAACCAACTATCACACACAAGCTCCTTCTTGAAACCCTAGCCTTCATGAACATCCAAAGTTTCTACTCAAATCAATTAGAGAGGATTTTCTTGGTGGATTAAACCTACCTTGGACTCAAATCTCTAAAACTCTTCTCAATTCTTCAAGTTTCCCTCTTGTTGAGCCTCCTCTTCTTCCTCTCCTTTTCTCACTCTCTCCTTCTCTCAGGAGATATTTCTATATGATAGAATTGCCAAGTTAAGAGTTTAAAAGGGTTATCTAAGAGTTGACCACAAAATAATCAATTTAATCATTACGAATCAAATTTTGACAAAAATTCATATTATGACCTAAAAATCATGCTTATCATAATTATAAAGTCAATTCCGGGTTATCAAGCTTCTAATGCTTTCAATTACTAATCCAAACGTCACAATTGTAACAGATTTTTCTCATAATTGACAGATATAATCCCATAATCATATATTTCACACAATTAAACTTAACTTTACATGGAATTTCACATTAAGTATATAATTGCACATATAATAAAATACTGAAAGCATACTAGAAAACATACCAGAAACATATAAGAGGATCGGGTTATTACAGTTATGCTTAGGGATAGAGAGAGAAGGGAGCCAAATTGAGAGGAAGAGGGATTGGCCTCATGATAAATGATGCAACTTTTAATATTTTTCTAATTAGGGTTTGCTTAGTTTAAGGGTGAATTTTTTTTTTTAACATCTTAGAATCTGTTAAGCATTGTACCTTGGAATTTTTCTTGTGAACGCGGCTATAATGATTGATCGGCCGTCCCTTTCTATTGTATATGTACACATCTTTTCTTATCAACAATTGGTTTTTAGATACTAATCCACTTAACACCTATGTCCTCCTTGTTCCACTAAAGACCCAACCATATTTAGGTCAAAAGTGTGTAATAGAAGACGTGAATTATGGGTCTTTTGCGAAGTCAAACATGAAGTAGTTACCCTATTGTAAAGTTTTTACTTTTGTTATTGTTGTATTCTCTGTGTGATTCTATGGACAATCCATTTTTATTATGTTTGAAGTAAATTTATGGAGGGAAAATATGTCGATATAGAGTCCTTTTCAAATTCCAAGAGCTCTACATAGCATCTTTTTAAATGACTATACATGTTAACTAAGAGAAAGTTGTTCTGGGAAATATAATTTATGCCTACATATTTAAATTTTGTTCTTGTAATTTTTACTAAATAATTTTTATACTTCATAATTTTTGTGTGCAGGTGGTTGATAAGGCAGTGCCTGCACTTGTGGACCTTGCAGAGATCTCAGTTCTGGGGGATCATAAAAAGCTTGGGGATTCGATTGTTAATGTTCTTCAGGAATGTATCCAATCACAAGGAACGGGACGTAACTCTCTGAGCAGCCGCACGAAAGAACAGATTGAGGAAATATTGAATTCTAGACAGAGATTAAAATGGGAAAAGAATATGCCGAAAGAGGATCTCCATATTAAACAGGCAGCGGCACTAGTGGTAAAGCTTGAAGGAAATTCCCTATTCTCCTCTGGAAACATATCTGGAGCTGCATTGAAGTACTCTGAAGCATTGGCCTTGTGTCCAATGCGATCCAAGAAAGAGAGAGTTGTGTTGTACAGTAATCGAGCTCAGTGTCATCTTTTATTGCAGCAACCCTTGGCAGCCATAAGTGATGCTACGCGTGCACTTTGTCTTCATAACCCTGTCAATCGTCATGCCAAAAGCCTATGGAGAAGAGCTCAGGCTTATGACATGCTTGGGTTAGCTAAAGAGAGCTTGTTAGATGCGATTCTTTTCATAAATGAGTGCTCTCAGTCAACTGATCCTGACCTTTCCTTGAGACAAAATAAGGTCCCGGACTATGCTGAGCGTTTAGTCAAGAAGCAGATGCGTGCTGCTTGGTTATTTAGGGAGGCCGCTATTAAACATGGGGCTGTTCATTGTGATGGTGATGGTGGTGACATCTATGGCCCAGAGACTGATGATTCTGAATGGGAGACGGCAAGTGAAAGTGATATCGGAAATGATGGAAGGGATGAAATGGGCAACGATGAATGGAAGGAGGATGAAAGGAATGATAATTATGATAAACCTTCTATGAGAGGTACGATGACACAACATTTTTGTTCTTTGTAAATGTCTAGTCCAATTAGCATAGTTGGTCATTTGCATCTATCAATAAAAAATTTCAACCCAATTTGTTTTTGTTCTTAATCAACAATAAACCTTATTTAATTTCCAATTCCATCTGATCAATAAAATTGTTTGCTGTTCAAACTGAATTTTACAATTAATAAAAATAGTTTTACATTGGATGCTCACAACCTACTGATCATGTTAGATTTTTATTTATTTATTTATTTGTTTATTTATTTGTTTATTTTTTAATTTTTTATGTATTGTTAGTTATACAATGTGTGTAACAACTACAGAGAAATGAAGTTAAGTTAATGTGTCATACAATGAAAGTGTGGGAGAGAGTGATGGACCATCAATTGCGAAATATAACAGAGGTGTTAGAGAATCAGGTTTATGCCTGGTAGGTCAACAATGAAAGCGATTTATTTTGAGAAGAGTAATAGAAAAGTATAGAGAAAAGAAAAAACACATTCATATGGTTTTATTGATCTTGAAAAAGCATATGACCAAGTGTCTCGGAATATAATTTGGTGGGTGTTAGACAAGAAATGAGTGACAAAAGGTTACATTGATGTGATTAGGGATGTGTATGAAGATATGGTGACCACTATTAGATCGCCTGCTGGAGAGAAGAGTGAATTTCCAATTTTTATAGGGTTACACCAAGGATCAACCTTAAGTCCTTATTTTTTTGTGTTAGTGTTAACTCCTTCTTTAGTCTCATCCACTAACAAAATATCATTTGCATACACAATGACACATCATCTTGAATCTAAAGGATTTAGGATAAGTAGAACTAAAACAGCGTATATGAAGTGTAATTTTAGTAACAATCACAATGGAAGCAGAGGAGAAGTGAAGATTGAGAATCAAGAACTGCCTAAGAGTGATCATTTTCGTTATTTAGGATCGATTATCACAACGACTGGGGAGATTGGAGCGGATGTGATCCACAGAAGTAAGGCGGGAAAGTCTAAGTGGAGGAGTGCGTCTGGAGTACTATGCAATAAACGAGTATCCATTTGATTAGAAATGAAATTCTATAGAAAGAATATTAGACCAGCGATGTTGCATGGGATAAAATGTTGGGCAACTAAGAAAGAACATATGGAAAAATGAGTGTTGTAGAGATAAGGATGCTAAGGTGAATGTGTGGCAAGACTAGAAAAGACTGAGTTAGGAATGAGTATATTTGAGAATGGGTAGGAGTAGTACCGATAGAAGATAAGTTAAGAGAGAATACATTGATGTGGTTTGATCATATACAACGGAGACTCACAGAGGCAGTAGTGAAGAGATGCGATACAATGACGGTAGATGGTAATATTAGGGGAAGAGGTAGACCTAGATTGACGTGGACTATTGTAATAAATAGAGATATGAATCTCCTTAATTTGACTAACAATATGACCTTGGATAGAGTCGAGTGGAGAAGGAGGATTAATGCAGCTGATCCCATTTGATGGAACTTAAGGCTTGGTTTGGTTTGGTTAGGTTAGTTATACAATGTGTGTTGTTGTCTTTATTTCATTAAAGGCTGGTTATTATGCATCTTTTAGGTGGAGCTCATGACATCATAAATACTCATACATTCCAACATCAACAACAAATATTAACATTTTGATTTTACAAATTCAGTTTCCTGATAATTTATTAACATCATTTCTGCTTGGATGAACTACTTGAAATTCTGCCACCAAATAATGTTCAAGTTTTCTTTCCTTTGACTTTTTTTTTTTGTTTTTGTTGTTGTAAAAAACAAAAAAGAAAAAGAAATGATCATATGAATTGATAAGTATCAAAGTGCGTTTTACATTTTTCTTTTCTCCCCTTTATTTAATGATGTTAGAAAGAACTTGTCATTGTTTTGGGACATTTGAAATTTTTTTGGCCAAAATTTTCTGATAGATGATAAATACTAAATGCTTGTCTGATTGCACATATGGTATGATATTTAGTTTAAGACATCGTAAAATTGAAAATAAGAGGATAGGCTAAATTAGCTGTGTATCAGAAGAATGATCAAAATCCAGCATACAGGGTGTCTTGTGGAAGGTTTACTGTGTGTTTGGGGGGCTGGCATGATAGTTGAATGTTAATGCATCTGTTCTACAGAAATGATTACTTTTGATACTAAGGTGTTAATGTTATTATATCTGCATGCTTTGGTGATTGAGAATTAAATTAATTACGTTAAAAGTGTAGAACCTGTGATTTCTGTTTCTTTAACTTTGAAGCATGACTGAACATTAGTTTTTTTTTTTTTTTTTTTTTTTTTTTTTTTTTTTTTTCTGTACATGAACCTTGTGCAAAATATTGACACCATGAATAACCAAATCGTATGAGGTGTGGGCGCGAGAGAGCATCAATTTTCAAAATTAGTAGGTCAAGAGCAAGAGCGCGTTTTGAGAGCATCTATATTATAGTGTTTTGATTCATTATTTGTTATATATATAATTAAATATTTTCATATTTTTAAACAATGGGAAAATTACCAAAAAATGATAAACTGGGGCAAAAAACTTACTAAAAGATGGGGAATATTTTTTTAATTACACTAAGAATGGAAAGTGCAAATTAATTACAAAATCATGATTCCAATTTTTTTTTTTCATGTATGCCCCTCCTCTCTTCGATTTCCTCCTATCTCTTCCTCTTCCACCTTTTCCCCCACTGCCTGCCACCCCTTTGGCAGACCATCCCCACCCCTCCCCTGCCCTCTCCTGCCATCCCACGCACCTCCCCACACCATCGCCACCCCCACACCAACCTCCTCCACCCCACTCCCAATCCCATCCTCTACCCCATCCCCAATCCGCCTTTGCCTACCCCCACCTCCACCCCATCCCCAACTCTCCTCATCCCAATCCCAGCCCTTGTACACTCCTCCTGTGCTCATCCCAGCCTCCTTAACCCACACCGGCCTCCACCCCAACCCTAGCCCTCTTCCGCCCATTGCCAACCCCCCTTCATCATCACCATTGTTGTCGTCGTCAACAACAGCAACAAAAAATGCAAAAAAAATAAAGAATAGGTACTGCTTAACCATGTTGGGATTTGGAATACATGAAGTGATGGTATATTTTGTTGCCTGCTTAACCATGTTGGGATTTGGAAAATATGGAAGAGTGTTCTCTAATTCCCAGATGCACTATTTGTCTTAATCAGTTGTCTCTTTGCTGTGTCATCTTGCAGGTTGTTAGGTGTCTTAAACTGATATAATGTCACAACAAATTATTTATCTCACTCCTATCCTATCTTAAATCTTCTGTGTTATTATTATTATTTTTTTATGTTACTTAGTTGGATGCAGATATCTATTGCCTCTTTCTTATGGCAGCTCCCATGTATAACAATCTATTTGATCAAAAAGGCTATTTGTTGCCGGATTCTTATGTAGGCTTATTATACTTGAAATGTTGGGAGTGACTGTTTTGCAGTTTCACTTCCTGTTCACATTGCTTCAGATTTTCAGATCTCCCTTGTAGTCCGAGGTTTGAACTTGAAACAATTAGATCGGGACTACATTGTTCACATTTATCTCTGAATATTAGTTGTTAGTTTTGTGGTTCAACTGAGATTAACGGTGAAACATGATTCATGCATCCAACCCCAAGTAATTGGGAAAAGGCTTTGTTGAGTTAAGGTCTTTCTGGTTCGGCTTATCATATTTACCTTCTGTTTCAATTTTCTTCCTTTGAATTTTATATCATAATTCATATGCGAGTGCATTCATAAACGGATGAAAATTTAATATGGTGCTAGTTTTTAATGTGTAATTATTGTCGGTGCCCAACTAAGCGTTGTTTTGAACTTTGATTTGATACAGACATGAAGCATGCATATAATGTGCAGCTGATGGAGGACGTGCCATGAATTTTGGATGATCAGATTGTCTATGGAACATTGAACAATGAATGAAGTAGCTATGAATTATATGATATTCAGTGCATTTTGGCGTCTTCGAATTCCCAGCAGCCGATGCTGTCTAGTTCAGTCCCATTGGAAGCAGATTGGGTGGGACAATTCTTGGTTGTGTTTAAAACTTGTGTTGTATATTTTGGTATTTTGTTCTTTTATTTTTCATGTTAAATTTGCAGCCAAATAATAGTAGGAAAAAAATGAAAAAGAAAAGGAAAGATACAGTTTAGAGGATGTGAAGTATTTCCTTCTAAAAAATATTTTTGATTTTTTTGTTTTTTGTTTTTTGTTTGAGTGATTCGAAGGGCTTGTGTACATAAACCCTTTAGGGGATTTTGATCAAACTACCTGCTACCCATGTATGAATGAATGGTAAGTAATGATTTTGTTTTATTGTTTATATGCTGTATTGTTAATTGTTAATGCAATTGACAAATACTTTCACATGAAAACATTTTTTGGGCAAATGTTCAACAAACAATTGTGAATGATCATATGTTATCTGCATATTATTATTATTTTTGATTTTCAGAAAAAGAAACATGAAAACGAAAATGTAATCAAACAGAACCTTAATGGTACATTCGGTAACATATTTATTTTTTACTTTTTGTTTACGTTTTACCAAGTTTTGAAAATTGAAAAGGATAACATGTCAAGTAACTTTTCTTGTTGAAAAAAAAGGGGCAACAATTTAAAAAAAAAAACCGAAAAAAAACCGAAAAACGAAAGAAAAATAGTTTCACTTATTTTGAAATTAAGTTTCTATTTCTCGGTCCTCACAAGTACTTGAAACCCTCTTACTTTTCTTTCAGGTAATGTTAAGAAAAACAATTGTGCTTTATATCTGATTTTATGATCTATTTTCTCTCTAGTTAAAAGTTACAGCCCAATATAATAGCCACACTATCATTGTAATTGTTGTAAGCATGCAAAGTGAATTACATATACCTAATTGTTTGGTGGATTTCATATTTTTGATCAATACAAGCCATTAATTTATAGTGCTTTCTAACCAAATCATTTTACATTGCTCTAAATGTACAAGGTTTGATGCATACTACAACCCTTCATTCTTATGGATCCTCAATAAAAGTTATGACTTGTCTTCAGTTTTTATAGTGGACCGGACCGGATTAGACCCTACTGTCGATCCATTTGGATCCATCATAAAGTTCATTTGTATGATTTGCTCATCTTCTGCAATTATATGAGTAAATTATTTATGAAAAAAATTAATCTGAAATTGTATCATATGATTTATCATCAAACAAATGAACGATAAGTGTGACTTAAAAAATAGATTACAAAACAATTATTATAAAATCATTTGACTATGATTATCACATCAGACTGATTTTTTTCATCGACGACCTACACGCATAGTTCTAGAAGTTGAACATATCTAATGATAAAAAAAAGTGGACCTTGTGATGGGACCAATTGAGCCAACAATATGTTCCAATTAATTATATAAACAGGAGAGATTGTATCCTTATGTAAAATGATATATATATGTAACCGGATTTTTTTTACACGGATTCACATGACATTATTTGTACGATTGTTATGAGTGGGTCCATAAAATTCAATGGTGATGCATAGCACTCATTTTCTCTCTTTATTTATTTATTTGAAAAATACTTGGGAGCACTAATTAGTGCTCCCACTAATTAGGTGGTAGTGGGTCCCGTCATGAATGATGTGATATTTTGGTTTTGGAGTTGTAATTTTTTTTTATTTTTTTTATTTTTTTAATACATTAGTGCTATTAGTGGTGATATTTTTAGTGGGATGTATCATTGTTGTATTTATTTATGTACTCTATCATGTTTTGTCCAATGGTGCAAATTCTTTAGTCTTTTTGCTGGTTGATATGGATTGTTAAAAAAAAAAAAAAAATCTTATTAAATACAAACTCAATTCACCATCACTTCAAAAAGTTATAATTTGCACTAATTTTATACAAACTCAATAAAAAAAATCTTATAATTTGCACTAATTTTATATGAACAAACTCAAAAAGTTTTATTTTTTTCCCTCTTTGCATCATTTATCATCACTTCTAATCTAAACAGGCTCAGCTAGAAAAAAATGACTTATTTATTTAAAATATATGTACTGTCACATAATGAACAGTTCATATAATTATATATTGATAGTCAAAACATGATTAAATACACTACCTAACCAAAAATAAATAAAATTAAATGTACTGTAATTAGTGTATAGTGAGTGGTGTCACTTGACACCACTCAACTTTGAATTTTTTTTAAAAATAAATATGGAATTTGTCTAAAATATTTGAGATTTACAAATTAAATCCAGAGAAAAAAGGGAGAATTGTTAATCCTTTTTAACTTTATTATAAATACACTTTAAAAATTTGTTTTTAGTGTTTAAAATTACGCATATATGATTCCTAATTCACATCAGAATACAATTTTTGGAGAAAATTTATAAATAATTGTAGTGAAAATAACAACTATAATTTTCATGATCATCAATTCAACCAATTACAACTACAATTGTGAAAAGATCTTTTGCTTAATGCAAAGTGATAATTTTTTTAATTTATTCAAAGTGATGATTGAATCAATGATTATTTGGCCATATATATTGGGAAAAAAAAATATTTGATAGCATACGTCATAAGGTTATTATATAGCAATTTAAAAAAATGAAAAATGTAGACCTTTGCTTGATTTTGTTGAAGTATTAATTTCTCAACTTTTGTTTTATATGTAATTTATTAAATTTGAATTATTTTGTGGATATGATTGAAAACATATAAAATTAGAGAATCAAATTTGATTTTGATATAGGTTGTATAAAAAATATATTGACATAATAATATGATGATAGTTGTTAATGACCCCATTAATCTAAAATCCTAACTACGCCACTGATAATTATTGACGACAGTGAAGACTCACCCATTTTCCTACCACCTTTTTGTTATTGTTTACTATTTGCAAGACGTAACTCTGCCAAGTAATGACAAGACTACTCTCAATCCTCCTATTGTTGATGATATATATATATATATAAAATTAAATTCTTGGAGGGGCTTAGAACTTAAATTTAGGGCTCGTTCATTTTCAGAGGTAGAATGGAGAGAATTTATAGTAAGGAGATTAATAGTGAGGGGATTGATAGTGAGAAATTATTAAATTATTTTTATATAAAATAATAAAACAAGTAAAAAAATATAAAAAATTAAACATTATATTTAAAAAAAATTCTCAATATATAAAAAATAAAAAAAATTCTAATCCTCTCGCTATTTTTCTAATACCATCTCTACCTCCTCCTTGCTAATCTCCCTTCCAAGGGGATTACTAATACCAAGGGATTAATAGTCTCCTCCCCATCTCTCAAAACAAACACCTCATTAGTAATACCAAGGGATTAGTAATCTCAATCCTCTCCCTATAATCCCAAACAAACGGGGCCTTATCTCAATACCGCAAATGAACTTAGTCGAGTCAAATTTTGAAATGTTCAAGTTTGATTTTTTAAGAATTAATTGAGTTTAAAAAATTAAGCTCAAACTCAGATCCAACAAAAATAATTGAAAAACTCAAAGCCAGCTCAATTACAAAAATAGCTAATTTCAAGCTTGAAAGGAAGAAATTAACAAATTAATTTGCATATATTAAGACAAAAAAGAAAAAATAATGAGCAAAATATAAAAGAATGCATTAATTAATAATGAATTTATCAATTAAATCTGTAAATTTACACAAATATCAAAAAAAATATAGAGAAACAAATAAATTAAAAAAAATTATATTTGATACATAAAAATAAAGATTTTAGTTTAGTTTAACCCAAAACAACTAGTAATAATAAATAAATAAAAAATCTACTAAAAGTCACCTTAAACGCTTGACAATAATTTTATTTTATTTGCAAAAATGTTCCACCAAATCTACATAAATCTTAAAATTTGTTAGATAATTAGAATTTCCTTTCCCAGGAGAAAAAAAAGAATAAATTACAAATACACCCTCTGAGATTTAATTAAGATACAAATCGCCCCCTGTGATTTTGAAAATTACATTCCACTCCCTAAGGTTTTTAATTTCATAACAAATCGTCCATTTTATTAATAAATTATCAAGTCAATTAACTATTTTAAATGATGTTAAAAATATGTTTCAATTAATAATTTAGGTAATTTTATTATTGTATAGGAGAGCAATTATGAATTTTATTTTTTAATTAATTCTGTTAAATAAAAAATTATAATAAAGGGATATTTGTAATTTTTCAAACCACAAAAAATTATTTGTATTTTAAGTAAATCTCAAAAAATAAATTTATAATTTACCCATAAAAAAAAAAAAAAAACCTACCATCCTGCAATCACATCTTCTAAAGCCAGCCGATTTGATTGCTGTAAAATTGTAAACCACCCAGTACCTTGTACCAACAGACCTTTGGCTTGGGAGGTCATGGACTCAAGCATATTATGGAAATGAGTGAAATTTCGATTACATCGATTAATTACGGAGTCAGATATTAAATGTATATAAATAATTAAGTTTGTTTTAAAAATGGACCAACTAAAAAATAATATAAAATCATATCAATTTATGTAAATTCATGTATATTATGTGTTTCTTTTGTATTTTAATTTTGGGAGAGGCTTTTCTTCAGTTGGTAATTAAAGGTATTGTTAATCTTTATGGCTCACCTCAATGATACAAAACGTTCATATTGTAAGGCCGATTGAGAAGATTATCCTCACTGAAAAATTAAATTATTTGGACAACTGTGTATCCACATCATTACATTACTTTTGTTATATATATATATATATATATAAAATAGATGTCAATTGTAATTTTGAAAATAGACCATTAATTATATAGCAACAAATGCAATCTCATAAACTGTCTTCAGTTATTTGATTAATTTGATTTTTTTGTAAAAATGATCTTTCTAAGAAACTCACAACATAAATGATTTGCATCATCGACAATGCTACGTAGCTTAAATTTTGAGTACAGAACAACATAAAAATGGCCAAAACGATGTCGTTTTGGCCATTTGAGTCACTTTTGAGCCATAAAATTTGAGTTACGAGACATTTTCCTTGCATCATCGAGGTGAGCTTACGAGGATCCAATAGCACCTCCAATTGGACAGCAGCATCTCCCTCTAATTTTTGTGTCCATAGTAGAATTACTTTGAATCACAACAAAAAAATTTCCTCAATTAAGTATAATGCACACAGTTTTTTTTTTCCCCTCTAGCCGTTTTCTAGAGAATTGAATTGAATGTGCTTATGCAGAAGTATCATAAAATGGTACTCCTTTTCTGTGATATTAGTCTGTTGCTTTTAATTTTGAGAATTAAATAATGCTTTAAATGCTTGTACTGTGTTGGTTA